AAAGTTCAAAAACCTAAAATCATAAAATGGGTGATCAAACCGGATTAAACATTAAGAGAAGAATCAAACACAAGTAATAGAGCTGAATATCATATAGATCTAAGAAGAAATAGAGTTAGTAGTTACATTGAATCCAACCCAAGAGAAACTAGCCACTCATGGTGAGGGCCATAGCAAATAAAAAGATGAGATTACACCATAGAAGAGAAGAAATGAAGATGGGTCCTCGTTCCCAAGCAAGCCAATCTTCAAATCTAATCTTCAAGCTCTCCTTTTCTCCTGAGTGATCTTTCTCTCTGTGTTTCTCTTCGTTTCGTTCTGTTTCGATACCCCTTTTTCCTCCCTTTCGTGCCCTAAAATACGTCCTGTCCAAGGGAAAGTTGGGATTTTTAACCCAAGGCTGCAGCTCTGGAATGGGGGCTGTAGCTCTGAATTTCTGGACTGCCCAATGTTCCAAGGCTGGGGCTCTGGTTTTCATGGCTGAAGCTTCAAGTCTCTGGAATTGGTTCAGGCTTCGTGGCTGCAGCTTTGAATCTAGAGCTATAGCCTTAACTCTCTGGAACACTTCAGTTTGGTTTAGGCTTCATGGCTGCAGCGTTGGCTTTGGAGCTATAGCCTTGGATTTCCAACTTCATCAAAATCTACACAAAAAGGAAATATTTTCAACCAAAGAAACTACACTCTTGTAACTCCTTAGATTAATCTTAGTTCATCTATTTGGAGGGTCAAACACAACCAAAATTACTTACATCTCTCCCAAAAAGAGTGTCAAATTAAGCATACAAATATGCAATTTGAGCACTTATCATAAATGAAAACATCACATTAAATTTAACTAATGATGTATAACTGTCTTATAATCTGTCACTTTTAGATATATTATTGGTGACCTAATGTACTAAAATAATATTTTTTAAAATTGCAGAAACTAAAAACATATTTAAATTTAAGGAACAATTTGAGGATCTATAAACATAATATTTAAACCATAAAAAGAATGAGCTCTCAATTTTCAAAATAGTCACAAACATAAAGTTATGCAATTTGAACATTTACAACCTACCGTTAAAAGAACAATTTTTAATTATCTTCTAGTACTATAGTAGAGGGAACACATATTAACTGAGACTTTGAAATATCACTAGTACCTAGTAAGAGTCATTAGAAATATAAGAACAATTTTATTTTTTGTTTTAATAATACATTTTTTCCTATTATAAATGCAATATATTTTTAGCTTTAATTAATAATTTTTTAAATATGTGAGTTTGATAAATTATTAGAAAAAAATAAAAATATTTTTTTCATGAATATTTTTAATATATTATATAGTAAGTAAAAATTAAGATTTCAAACAACATATAAAATTGTTAAAATTAACTTTGAATCAAAATAATATAAAGAAGAAAATGAAAAGTACAATAAAGAAACATTTTTGAAATTATTATTATAGGTTTGATGTTCCCACATAATACAAACATTTTGTTTTTCTTTTTATGACTAAGATTTCTACACATGGACTAAAACTTAAACCGGTCCCTATCATGCACAAATGTACACATAATATAATTTTCACTAGTATAATGTATTTCTACAAAATATAATTGTTCTGTTGTTATTAGAACCTTTTTTTTATTGAACATTATCAATTAAAATATCCTAAAATTCATTTCAACCCTATGAGTAACATATGACAATTATATTATGATTTACATTCATTAACCACTAACACTGTGCAACTAAATTACAAATAATGAGTTTTTTTTTTCACTAGGGCACATATGACTAGAAATAAGATAATTATATTATGTAGAAAAGTTTTACAACATTTTACATACATGTTAGAATTTTTAGAAATTATAAATTTTAAAAAATACACCTTTTAACTCAATTTTCGTAAATTAACAGCAATCATAAATAGGTAGATAATAGTGGAGTTTTGGTAAACCAATAAAGTTAACAAAATATCTATAGTATAACTTAAGAATAGATATATGTATATGTAAATTTATATGAATAGCTACAATGATAGAATCTCAATGATGTGAACAAAATGTAAAATTACCATAATTAAGGAATAATTTCTATGATATGTTTTTTACTTGTCTTTTTTTTACCCTATTTTGTATTTAATCGAATTTGTGCAAACATAATATAACTTCAAATACTCGTACACATTATGCAAGTATGCCATGTCACATGCATGTGTAGCAATAACATAAAAAAAAATTCTTTTAGAGGATTTTTGTGATGCTTTGTTGTCTACATGTGCATACAATGCAACACACACCAGCATTTCATCTAACCAATACTCAAAGTTCCTAGTATTGGCAAAGGACTGATTATGCTAGGCGAGTTTCCCTACTAGTTAAGAGGAAATCAAGGAGGCCCAACACAAGAAATGACAAAACTAAAGAATTTGTTCAAAATAATAACCTATAAAGAAAATATTTTGTTGTCCAATGCCAAATGTGTGGACATACATGACATAATCAAAGGGGATGTAAAACTGATGGATGTGCACCTAATCCCAATTTGAAGAAGATAGAGACTAGAGCGACGATTGCCCAAGTTGAAAATGTTGAGACTAAAACATCACAACATGAAGCACAAGTTGTAGGTGAAGATGCAAACTAACAAGTTGAAATGGAATTTCCTAGATTGCCCCAAATACTAGATGCCTTCAAAGTCAAGATGTGAATCATGGACTTCCACCAATGCAATTTATCCCAACTCCATGGCTTTAGCAACAATGAAGTGAAGACCCCACAATTTAGTGCAACTTAGGAAAAATTTGAGCTCAGAATTTACTAGATATTTACGCAACTATTTTCTGTTATTTTTTTTTGTTTAATAGTTTTCTTTTTGTTTTGTTTAGTACAAATGTTATTATGTAATTTGAGCTCAAATTTCAATTTTTTTATTATATTTTTTTGGGGCTTGTTATTAGGTAAATTAAGCTCAAATTTCAATTGTTATTATGTTTTTTTTTTAGGTTTTGTTATTATGTCATTTGAGCTCAAATTTTCCAAAAATATATGAAACTCATGTTCTTCAATGTGCATGCAATTATGGTCAATATCTTAATATTATTTGTTAATATCTAATTATTCAAACAATGTTATTTGTCATCCCATTATTTTGTCTCTTAGAATGTAATTCACATGGGTTTGCATCTTCAAGTCAACAAATAAAACTTAAACTTAACTATACAACATAAGAAAACACAACATTCATGAGTAATCCAATTTTTCATTACTACAAGTCATGCCAATTACATTTCAGTATAGTCATGTCACTTACATAACCAGCCAAATACACTTATTAGTGACAAACTTCGAGAAACCATTTCTATGTTAGTATAGGCTTTTAGTCCAAGCGTATGTTGTATGACCTAGAGAAGAAAGGTCTTTTTATGTTGTTGGTTCAATAAAGTCAAAACACTTAAATTGCTCACATGTATTGATGGAGATCTCCTAAGTTTTGAATTGCGTAACGAAACCTATAGATATTGTGTTGTTTCTTGTGTTACTAATTTGTTTACCATGATGCTAATTAAGGTGTATGTGTGTGTGTTGATAAGTTGTATAATTGTGTTGTTGAGTTGCTTATCTTAATGAGAAGTTGTTGTTGAGTTGTACAATTGTGTTGTGAGTTGTTTGTTTGAGTTGATGTGTTGTTTTTGTGTGAAGTTTATATGACAAAGATGTTCATGTTGATATAAAAAGCTATTGTTTTCTATTTATATATGTTATTTCTTGTTATACTAGTTTGTCTGTTGATTTTCCTTTGTGTTGGACTGTGATGATTATATTTAGTGTGAAAACATATGTCAAGAATAGGTAGAGGCCCAAGTCTAGAGTTGGTTAGCCACGTGGAGTGGCCTTTCGATTGAAATTGTTCTAATACAGCTAGTTATTCTTATTTTACAATGGTAGGGACAATTGCTTCCATTACTAACCAGAAATACACCAAATCCTTCTTTAGGTGCTTTAACAATGATATAGATAGAAGGAGTTGGTAAGGAAAATTAAACCTTCTATATAAAGTTTGAAATGGTGAATTGAGGTAAGAGTAGACGGATGATCTTATTTTCAGTCCAATTTTGTTGTAGATATTTGTACATCTTGTATATATGTATTTAGAATAACTATAACTCCATAAGGGGGCTTTATAGTTTTCAAATATGGGAAAGTTTTGTTTCATATTTTCTTGAACACACATATATTATCGTATAAATATCTTGTATCCGATGCATTAGAACCCTAAGTTAGCTAATTTTATGTTTCCTAGTGCTATTGTGTTGTTGTGTCATTACATGCCCTGTCAAGTCGTTATAATAAAAATATTTATTTTTTTTTGAAAAAACCCACGTTTGCCATGTCATTGATAGGAATTCCTTCCCATCACCACAATAGTTGGCTAGTTCCAAAATCAATGATATACATATATATATATATATATATATATATATATATATATATATATATATATATCTTAAATAAATTATATAAGATAAACAATAATAAATATCATATAATTAATAGAGATATACACTTTGTTAATATTTATTTAATGAAATTTCAACTTTAATCAAATACTATAAACTGTGTTTTAATTTTTTTTTATTATACATTTGTTCCAAAAACCTCTAATAATAACTAAAAATAGTATAGGAAAAGCATCGAAGATAAAACAAGAAAAAAAAGCTGCACATATTTTAGCAACGACTTTAACAATATCAACTTTTGTAGCCATTTGAATAGTTTCAGCTTAATTAAAACTTGTCTAAGCATAACGTGAGGTTGATACCTTTCATACCTGGATACAACACACGTATAATGAATATCAAGCAAAACCTAGTAAAAAGACCCTAAAACTATGCAAGACCATACACTTAGAACCGTTTCACTAGCTAAAAAAAGTAGTGTTTTCCCAAAATAACCCAAACCTCCGACTTTATAAGGCCATCAAGGACCCCATTGTTCCTCAGACCTGCAAGCAAAGACAATAAAGCTAAACACAATTGTTTCATCAACACATTCGCAGGTCTCCAAAACCAAGTCATTTTATTCATCATGGACATGAAGAAGGTAACTTGTGCCGTCCTCATTGCTGCTGCCTCCATGAGTGCTGCAGTGGCTGCCGTTGAGGTTCCTGCCCCAGCCCCTGGCCCAAGCAGTGGAGCCTCAGCTACCTTGCCCCTTGTTGGCTCCTTGGTTGGTGCCTCTGTCTTGTCTTTCTTTGCCTTGTTCCACTAATTAAGCCAACATGACATGGCGACAGACATAAAAAGAAAAAAACGAAGAATGTGATAATCACAACAGAATGTATGAATGGATGATGAGATTTTGTAAGAGAAAATATTCATATTGATATTATTTAATGAATTAGAATGTTCATGCTAATGTGTTACGATCTTGATATGCGTTTTAGTATAATTAGTGGATAAAATTAAATACACTTTGTGACTTTAGGTGAATATACATATCGGTTAGTAAATATAATAGGTGGCTATTAAGAAATTTAAAGAAAAAACTAATACATCAAAAGATTTTTTTTTATTTTTATTAATTATTATTGTAAAGATTTATAAAGGATTAAAATTGTCAAAAATAAAATATACACGAAAATAAGAAATCATCTTTATATACAAGTATAAATTTTAGATGATAAATTATATTATGTAGTCTCACAGTAAAAATTATAATGAGATAACATAAACTTTTAAAGTAACAAAAAAATTTAAAGTAGTAGCCACCAAATTATTTTTCTAAAATTACTCTTAACATCTCTTAAATTAACATCCTCACTTTTCACTTAATCATTTCTTACCTAATTTATGTTTGGAAGGGAGATATTTATATATCTATTTATCTCCTCCAATCCTAATATAAGATAGAGTTTTTATCCATTTAATTTCAAGCATTTATTATCTTTTATTTAAAATAATTATTAATTAGATAAGATTATTTTAAATTAGAAAAGAATATCATAAAAAGGGATAAGTAAAATAGTGAAAAGACACTTATATATAGAGATAAAACCAGTATATAGCATGTTCATACTTGTCAAATAGCATATGAACACATATTAATTTCTCCATATTTCAACCATACAAAGAAAGCTATAAATCTTAATAACATGTCACAACATACATCAACATAAAAGTACAACAAAACATACATAGAGTGAGACGGATTTGAGAGCCAAAACCCTTCTCATATAAGTTTTTCCAAAGGGACCTAAATACGATAACTTGTAATTGATCGTGTTTAATAGAGTAGGGATATTTAATTCCCATAATAATTAATTTTTTTTTTTCATTATTTATTAGGATGAAACAATTAATTGTCTCTTAAGTTGCCTACAAGTATTAGGAGATAATGGTAATTTATAGGTTTCTTCATAAAGAAATTAAAGCGAATCTATTTAGTGTTAAAATCTTAGCCCATAGGTAGATTTTGATGACTTATTAACTCACGTGTACTTTTGAATTATTATAAAAGCATTTATTTATTAATTTTGGTTCTTGTAATTCAATATTTGATTATCTCTGATAACAAAAATGAAGTTCCTATGTTGACTAGTGACAACTATAAGGAATGGAAGGAGAGAGTTCTCTCCCTCAAAAATTGCTCCTGCTATAGGAATCAAACATGTGACCTTGACTTTGATACCAATTGTTGGATTGACTGTTTATCATTAGGTCAAAAGTTATAATTGATAGTAAAGGTGCAACTTTTTACACATAATCATAGTAGCCTAAGTGCCATGTGTCTTGACTTTGACTTGACTCACCTAGGCCTCCGTCACAAGACAATTGATGTCACTCAACAAATAGCTTATCAAAATAAGTTCAAAACATCTTATGGACTACTCATAAGATATTTTATAAATTCATCCTAATACTCTCATAAGTACTTATAAGATAAGTACAAATAAGTTGTTAATAAGTTTTTCCAAAGGGACCTAAATACGATAACTTGTAATTGATCGTGTTTAATAGAGTAGGGATATTTAATTCCCATAATAATTAATTTTTTTTTTTCATTATTTATTAGGATGAAACAATTAATTGTCTCTTAAGTTGCCTACAAGTATTAGGAGATAATGGTAATTTATAGGTTTCTTCATAAAGAAATTAAAGCGAATCTATTTAGTGTTAAAATCTTAGCCCATAGGTAGATTTTGATGACTTATTAACTCACGTGTACTTTTGAATTATTATAAAAGCATTTATTTATTAATTTTGGTTCTTGTAATTCAATATTTGATTATCTCTGATAACAAAAATGAAGTTCCTATGTTGACTAGTGACAACTATAAGGAATGGAAGGAGAGAGTTCTTCTCTATTTGAGGGTTTGTGACCTTGATTATGCACTCTGTTTAATCGATCTTAAAAGTGGTCACACTATTTATAAAATTGTCACCACGTCGCTTTTAAGATCAGTTCCCTCTTAACTGATCTTAAAAGTCTGATCTTAAAATTAATTTTTGCACTAGTATCGTGTTTTGGCATTGTACTTGTCGTGTCTCTTCGTAATTCACCGTCATGTTCTTTATTTCTCATCACATATTTTTGCATTAATTATTGCCCTTTTTCCCTCTCATTTGCATTTTGGCATTATACGTTTTGCATTTTGCTACCACCATGTTTACTTCTAAATCGTCACATTATCAATATTTAAATAATAACAACAAAAGACACAAAAAATAAAAATAAAAGTGAAAAATAACTTACTTGGATGTGTAAAAAGGATAAGGTGCAAAAAGAAGAAGACAGAACTATTTTAAAATTTTGAAACACAAATTGTGTATTTGAATTAAAATTTTAAAGCATTTTTTGTGTCGAGTATTATTTCACCCTTATAAAATTTTTTTTTTTATATATCAAGTGTCATTACACACATGAAAAGGTTAGAGTTAACCGTAAAATAATTAACCTTTTCCAGCACATTTTATCACGATTATAAAATATTGTTATATTTATAACTTTATCATCATGTCGTATAAATTATACTTGATATAAAACCTTCATTATAAAAACTTCTTTTACCCTAGTAGTTATTTTAATATTTTACAACATTAGGTGTTTAGAGTGTGTTTTCAGCGGGATTATAAGGTTATAAGGTCCTTTCAAGGGTTAGTTAGAATTATTAATTTAGACCCCCTTCTATTGGATTTAGGACAACACATTGCTAGACCAAATTATTTGCCCAGCCCAAACCCTTATAACAACTATCACTATAAAAAATTAGTTAATTAGTAGCGGTTTTTTTTCAGTGGTTTTAATAAACCGCTACAAAATGTTATAATTCTGGCGTATTGGTTCAATCATATCTACTTGTGACTTACATCTAGTCCCCAATTAACTTGATTGAGACTTTTCACTAATTTTTAATATCATAAGTTTTACAATCACAATATCACATGCAATACACTTATATACTGTTAAAGAAACCACTTCTTGCAGCCTAGAAGCACTTACTTGTAGCACTCCACTATAAGATTTTCCTTTTTTAAGAAACCTACTTTTGATAAAAAAAAATATATATATATATATATATATATATATAACTAGTTTTTAGTGAAAGAATGAAAAAAGAAAATTTATGTTAATGATAAGATTTGAATTTAGGTGTTTTTAATAAGTCTTCACATAAGGTAAGCAATAAGCTATATTGGACATGTTGGATTAAGCGCTTATCACCAGGCCAAAAGTTATAATTGATAGTTCGGGTGCAAATCTTTCTATTTAATCATAGCAACCTAAGCATTATGTGCCTTGACTATGGCTTAATTCACCTAGGCTTCCGCCACGAGAAAATTGATGTCACTCAACAAACAATCTCCCCCTCAGGAATTGCTCCCACTTGGAATCAAACATGAACTTTGGTGTTTTTCAATAAGTTCTTGCATAAGCTAAGTAATAAACTATATTGGATATGTTGTATTGAGCACTTACCACTAGGTCAAAAGCTATAACTGATAGTCAAAGTGTAACTCTTTCTATTTAATCGTAGTTGCCCATGCCCCACATGTCTCTAGGCTTCCACCATGGGACAATTGACGTCTCCTAGCAAACAATCTCTCCCTCAAAAATTGCTCCTGCTATAGGAATCAAACATGTGACCTTGACTTTGATACCAATTGTTGGATTGACTGTTTATCATTAGGTCAAAAGTTATAATTGATAGTAAAGGTGCAACTTTTTACACATAATCATAGTAGCCTAAGTGCCATGTGTCTTGACTTTGACTTGACTCACCTAGGCCTCCGTCACAAGACAATTGATGTCACTCAACAAATAGCTTATCAAAATAAGTTCAAAACATCTTATGGACTACTCATAAGATATTTTATAAATTCATCCTAATACTCTCATAAGTACTTATAAGATAAGTACAAATAAGTTGTTAATAAGTTTTTCCAAAGGGACCTAAATACGATAACTTGTAATTGATCGTGTTTAATAGAGTAGGGATATTTAATTCCCATAATAATTAATTTTTTTTTTTCATTATTTATTAGGATGAAACAATTAATTGTCTCTTAAGTTGCCTACAAGTATTAGGAGATAATGGTAATTTATAGGTTTCTTCATAAAGAAATTAAAGCGAATCTATTTAGTGTTAAAATCTTAGCCCATAGGTAGATTTTGATGACTTATTAACTCACGTGTACTTTTGAATTATTATAAAAGCATTTATTTATTAATTTTGGTTCTTGTAATTCAATATTTGATTATCTCTGATAACAAAAATGAAGTTCCTATGTTGACTAGTGACAACTATAAGGAATGGAAGGAGAGAGTTCTTCTCTATTTGAGGGTTTGTGACCTTGATTATGCACTCTGTAGGGATGAGCCAACTGACCTCACTAATGCTAGTACTTTAAAAGACATTGTTAGAAAAGATGGCTTAATCAAGAAGGCAAGTGAATTGGTTGCTAAAAAAATCATTGTGCAACTTTTTTGATTTTGAAAAAATTTATTATTAAAACATTCCAAAGAAGTATATTAATCTATAGTTATATATATAGGATAACAAGTTCATATTCTATATAAATTCAAATTCACTTAATTCTATATGCAATGGACATGATTCATACCACATAACATCAAGCATAAAATTAGAATTGGAAGAATGTAACTTTAGGCATAGGGAGAGAGAAAAATGCACAGTCAATTTATATTGGTTCAATCATATCTACTTGTGACTTACATCTAGTCCCCAATTAACTTGATTGAGACTTTTCACTAATTTTTAATATCATAAGTTTTACAATCACAATATCACATGCAATACACTTATATACTGTTAAAGAAACCACTTCTTGCAGCCTAGAAGCGGTTTAAAATTGTTAGAAAATGCGAGAAATGACAATCTAAACCACCAGGAAATG